CGGCAGCTCCTGCAGGGAAGGGGGATGCGGGTGGTGAATTCTATGTGGGGTACAGCCTGAGGGAACTGCCCCACAACCGGCCATGAAGCTGGGTGACAGGACGCCTGGGTTCGGTACTGAGCTCTGGGAGGGGAGTAGGCACTAGTGGTTAGCACAAGGCGCCTGGGTTCTGTTCTGAGCTCGGGGAGGGAAGCAGGCACTAGTGGTTAGCGCAGGGCGCCTGGGTCCTGTTCTGAGCTCAGGGAGGGAAGCAGGCACTAGTGGTTAGCGCAGGGCGCCTGGGTCCTGTTCTGAGCTCAGGGAGGGAAGCAGGCACTAGTGGTTAGCGCAGGGGGCTGGGAGGCAGGGCGCTTGGGTTTTGTTCTGAGCTCGGGGAGGGAAGCAGGCACTAGTGGTTAGCGCAGGGGGCTGGGAGGCAGGGCACCTGGGTTCTGTTCTGAGCTCTGGTTTATTTGATTCTCACACTTCGAACATCTCTTGCCGCCAGATCCCACAGCGCGAAGCACTAGTGGAAGCGGCTCCGCCTGCAGCAGTGCACAGCGAAATGCCGGCGTCTCGTGTGATGGGCAGCCCGGGCACGTGCCCAGGGCCCGTGCCTCATACTGGCAGGCGAGAGACGCTGGACCTTGGTGGCTTCCCCCTCCCAAAAAAAATCTCTCAAAACAGACACCAGCTTCTCCTCCCACCCCAGCTCTCCGGGGGCGGGGCGGATCACGCAGCTGCAGACGGTCGTCAGAGTCACCGACATAGGGGCGGCCTCAGGCCTCATCGTGGTCAGTGGCTGGGAAAGAAAAATAAATGGATATTGGCAGCTGGTCGAGATGCAGCCAGCTCTGGGGGGAGGCAGCTGGGAACAGCTGCCCAGCGAGGACTCGCCTGGTGGGGAGATGCAGCCAGCTCTGGGGGGAGGCAGCTGGGAACAGCTGCCCAGCGAGGACTCGCCTGGTGGGGAGATGCAGCCAGCTCTGGGGGGAGGCAGCTGGGAACAGCTGCCCAGCGAGGACTCGCCTGGTGGGGAGATGCAGCCAGCTCTGGGGGGAGGCAGCTGGGAACAGCTGCCCAGCGAGGACTCGCCTGGTGGGGAGATGCAGCCAGCTCTGGGGGGAGGCAGCTGGGAACAGCTGCCCAGCGAGGACTCGCCTGGTGGGGAGATGCAGCCAGCTCTGGGGGGAGGCAGCTGGGAACAGCTGCCCAGCGAGGACTCGCCTGGTGGGGAGATGCAGCCAGCTCTGGGGGGAGGCAGCTGGGAACAGCTGCCCAGCGAGGACTCGCCTGGTGGGGAGATGCAGCCAGCTCTGGGGGGAGGCAGCTGGGAACAGCTGCCCAGCGAGGACTCGCCTGGTGGGGAGATGCAGCCAGCTCTGGGGGGAGGCAGCTGGGAACAGCTGCCCAGCGAGGACTCGCCTGGTGGGGAGATGCAGCCAGCTCTGGGGGGAGGCAGCTGGGAACAGCTGCCCAGCGAGGACTCGCCTGGTGGGGAGATGCAGCCAGCTCTGGGGTGGGTCTCGGCTCCACCCTGGCGCCTGCTACAGGTAGGACAAGGCGAGGAGCCAGCCTGACCTGCGTGGATGCTCCGCAGCATTTCCTGCCAGGCCTCAAAGTTCAGCGAGTCCTTGAATTCCTTGAGAGCCGGATCCACAGGCACGACGTCCTCGTCCTCGTCCTCGTCCCCCTCCTCCTCGCTACTGGCCGCGTCCGACTCCTCCTCTTCCTCACTGCTGCAGCCTTCCTCGCTCCCGTCCTCCTCCTCGCTGTGGCCCTGCTGGTCCTTACGGACTCTACAGAGAGAGAAAACTGTGGGATCTGTGTGTGTGTGTGTGTGTGTGTGTGTGTGTGTGTGTGTGTGTGTGTGTATGTGTACCTACAGATCTGTGCCCGTGTATGTACACATACACGTACCTACCGATCTGTGTGTATGTGTACACGTACCTACCTATCTGTGTGAGTGTGTGTGTGTGTGTGTACCTACAGATCTGTGCCCGTGTATGTACACATACACGTACCTACCGATCTCTGTGTGTGTGTGTATATGCGTGTGTGTGTACACGTATCTTCCTATCTCTGTGAGTGTGTATGTGTACCTACAGATCTGTGCCCGTGTATGTACACATACACGTACCTACCGATCTCTGTGTGTGTGTGTATATGCATGTGTGTACACGTATCTACCTATCTGTGTGAGTGTGTACGTGTACCTACAGATCTGTGTGTGTGTGTGTGTGTGTACACTACACGTACCTACAGATTTGTGAGTGTACATGTACCTACAGACCTGTGTACGTATGCGCACACATACCTACCTATCTGTGTGAGTGTGTGTGTGTGTGTGTGTGTGTACCTACAGATCTGTGTGTGTGTGTGTGTGCGCACATACCTACAGATCTGTTTGTGTGTGTGTGTGTGTGTGTGTGTACACGTACCTACCAATCGCTGGTGTGTGTGCATGTGTACATGTACATACAGATCTCTGTGGTGTACACGTACACATACCTACAGATCTGTGAGTGTACATGTACCTACAGATCTGTATGTGTGCAAGCATGTGTGTACACATTCATACCGATCTTTCTGTGTATGTGTGTACAGATGTCAGTGTGGGTGGTTGTGTGTACAGATCTCTGTGTGAGTACATAGCTGTGTGTGTGGTACGCATACATACAGATCTGAGTCTGAGTGTGTGTGTGTATACAGATGACCGTGTGAGTGGTTGTGTATGTGTACATGTGGGGATGGGTGAAATGTGTGTATATGTACCTACAGTTCTGTGTGTGTACAGATGTCCATGGGGTGGCTGTGTGTGCAGATCTGTGTGTGTGTACACGTACCTACAGTTCTGTGTGTGTGTGTGTCCAGATCTCCGTGTAGGTGTGGTGACTGTGTACAGATCTCTGTGAGGGCAAGTGTGTGTGTGACTTCAGTAACACAATGAGAGGCGTGTGCAGCCTGAGCACAGTGGCCCGACAGGAGAAGTGTGGGACACGCACACACTCACCTTCTCATCAGCTCCTTGATGCCCTGGAGGAGAGAAAGACAGACAGGATTATCCTCTGGAACTACCCGCCACAGGACACGCCATGCTCCCTAGGGGGTGAGATGCCAGCTCTACGGGTCATCCCTTTCCCACCCTCCTGCTCGGCCCCAATTTCCACCCCCCGCCCCCTCCAACCCCTGTTGTCCCCAGTTGCACGTCCTTGAGGTCATACACCGCCCGCCAACCCATCCTACTTCTGCCTCCACAGCCCAGGCCCCTGCCAGTGGACCCAGGAGTCCTGCTCCCACGCCCACTGCACAACCTCCCATCCCGCAGCTGCGCCCTGCGGCACCTCCCGGGCTTGTTCCCATCTCCTTGCCGGGAGAATCCCCTCTCACCCGGAGGAAGGCCACAGGATCTGCCGGGTCCATTTCCGCCTGGACCCTGGACAGGGTCTCGCAACGAGAGGCCACCTCTTCGTCCAGCTCCTTCAGCCTCTCCTCCATCTCCTCCCGGTTCTCCTCCTCCAGGCTCGTCACGGCCTCCTTCATGCCCTCCTCCTGCTCCCGCAGGATCTGGTGGAGAGCCTCAAACTCCTCGGAGATGTAGCCCAACAGGTCCTGGGTGCAGGTCTGCAGAGGGCGGAGAACAGGAGGTTGAACCCTCACACACCACCCACGGCGCACGTGCTGCTATATCTCTTTCTTGGCTTCTGTTCATTCCACTCCCATTCATCTGAGGAAGTGGGCGTTGCTCCCGAACGCTCCCGAGTCTCTACATTTTGCTTGGTCTTTAAGGCTGCATCCCCCCAACACTGTCGTCTGAAATAAGAGACGCCATTTGAGCTACACAAATCGTGCCTCTTATTTCGATGCTATTTCGAAATAGCTTACTTCGTCCTCTGGCGCAGTCTACACGGCACCAAATTCCAAAATAACCCACTAGTCCGAAACGTCCCTTGCTCCTCATGAAATGAGATCTACCAGGATGTCAGAATTGTGTGCCCGAAATAGCAGGCTTGCTGTTAAGATGCAGGATCGCTATTTTGGGATACTCCGGTATCGCAAAATAGCGCTGCAGTGTAGACATAACCTAAGGTGCCCCAGAAACACTTTTTAAAATTAAAGTTACCAACGAACACAGTTACCCTTCTGAGATTATTTTAAAATTTGGTGCCTCGGTTTCCCCAAGTGTGCGATGGGGAAAGCAGCTTTCCCTTACTTCACAGGGGATTTAGGAGGGTGAAAATATGAAAATGAGCCGGCTGGGGGAAAAAATTGACAACATTTTTTATTTTAACAGAAAGTTTTGAAATAATAGAAACTGTTAGTGAAACAGGATTGGAGATGAAATATCTCCCAACTCAGGAAAAGTTTGGTGGGGAAGGGGAACTCAAGGGCCATGCCCTATTCATGGAGGGACAGTCTATGGCTCCTAATAATAATAATAATACCTGGCATTTCTCATCCTCAAATCCTAGTAGACTTTTGCAATTTTCATGCTTCTGCAAATCGCACCTTCTCCCTGATCCGGAGTCTTGCTACTGGCTCTTTGTTAACTAGCGCTGGTCACAAGCCAGGTTTGTGAGAAAGGCTGATTTCCAAAGGACGTCAGCGTCATGAGCTCAGTCTGACAGGTAGGGAAACTGAGGCATGGGGTGGGGCAGTGGTATGGGGCCGAGCAGCATGGGTAGCCTAGATCGATGTGCATGCTCCAGCCACTAGATGGAGACAGAGCCCACACTGAAAACAAGGGGTCAAGGCTGACCCCATCTCTGGAGGAGGGGGACGGCGTTCGCTTTACCTCCAGCTCCACTAGGTTCTCCTGCTGGTGGCGTTGAACTTCCGTGGTTGAATTCAGATGCTCCGTGAGGGGGGCCAAAGATGCCGTGAGCTTGTCCTGCACAGCAGAGAAACCCACCCATCAGCAGGGGCTGAGGGAACAGGATCAGACATGTGGGACCACCCAAGACAGCCTCAAATTCACCGCTGCGCTGAGATAGGACCAAGCAAACTCCAACCCTTCAGGTGGGTGTGTGTCCGACATGGTCTTAAAATCCTCCGGAAAGCGAGATCTCACCTCCACCCTGGAAGCCTAATCCCAAGTGTAACTCCCCTGCGAATTAGGAAAGTTTTCCTTCATCTCCCCTGCAGCCTGTCCTACGATCAGCAGTGATGGAGAACAAGAGATCTCCCGGTCCTCGTCATTACCGCCCTCCGCGCTCAGTACCCCACTTTTCTCTAGACTTGATCTCCCCCTGCTCTTTTCACCTTCCTCACAAGCGCAGGTTTCTAACCCTTTATCGACTCGCAAGATGCGAGCTGAAGGCGCACAGCATTGTGAGAGCCAGACGCTCCCTCTGCACCCAGCCACAGTGCTGCTCCAGTTCACCCCACAAATTCTAGCGACGCAAGCACTGGGAGCAGAAGTGTCCTCTGCTGGGAGATCAGCTAAGTTACAACAACCTTGTGGCCACTGAGATGAAGGAGGGCCACTCACCAGCCTCGGTTTCCCCTCTCTGCCCTAGAAAGCCCTTTTCAGCCCCTTTTCAGCAGGGTGACCACCCGGCCTGTTATTCCCTTTGGAATGCACTTGATTTTTCTTTTCCCTCTTCCCAGGTGTAGGACTTTGCCCTTGTCTATATTGATTCTCCTCTTGATATCAGAGCCTTTCTCCAGTGATAGAGCGAAGATTCCTCCCCTAAGGAACTGGGGAGGTAAAGAGACGGGGAGCAGAGCTGAGGGGAGAGTCCAAGCGTGTCCCCACCGATCAAACCCAGGGCCGGCCCTACCATGAGGGGATCTGAGGCGGCTGGCTCAGGTGCAGAACTGGGTGGGGAGTTTGGGGGGCAGGTGTCACTAGGACCCAGAGTGTAGAAAATTGTGTCTGCTGCTGGTGCCTATGTAGGTAGCCGAGCAGCCCCAGGAGAGCAGTAGAACAGGAAGAAGGCAGAACTGAAACTTTTCAAAGTTTCAGCCCAAGGGAGGGGGAAGGGGAGGCGTCTTTTGAGCTCCTCACCTCAGGCTCCAAAACGTTGTGGACCAGCCCTGATCAAACCTCTCCCCAAATCCCTGCCCCAGAGCGGAGAGAGAAACCCAGGCATCCTGGCTCTCACCACTGCACCCCGCTCCCTTCCCAGAGACGCCGGCGCCGCGGCCCTGACCTGGTATTTCTGGACGGCGTTTGCGACGGTCAGGAAGTCGTGGCCCCGGTGCTGGGGCAGGTCCCGGCAGATCACGCAGACGGGCCCCTCGTCCTGGCAGCAGAAGAGTTTGAGGGGTTCCTGGTGCTCGGGGCAAATGGACCATGTGGTCCTCCCTGATCCCGCTGGGGCCCCCTGGTCCAGCTTGAGCAGCCGGGCTTCCTCAGCCAGACTGCGCAGGGCCCAGTTGGTGGCCACGCTGCGCAGGGCGAAGGGGCGCCGGCACTCGGGGCACAGCCCACGCCGCTGCCCCCGGGGGACGCAGGGCTCCAGGCAGGCGGCGCAGAAGCTGTGCCCGCACTCCAGCATGCGGGGCTCCCGGAAGAGGGAGAGGCAGATGGGGCACAGCAGGTCCTCAGCCAGGCTGGACACGTCCTGGTCCGACGCCATCCCGGCCCCGCACTGCGCGAGGGACAGAGACCGGGGGAATGCTGTCTTTGGGTTTGGCTTCCTGCGCACGCGCGTTCATCCACACCCGCCCGAGGAAGGAAAATCCAGGTGCTGCCACCGCCCAAAGTGCAGCATGCTGCCACACGTCGCAGGCAATGAACCAGAAGACCTGCCCCCCAGCTCCTGCTCTAACCACTAACCCACACTGTTACCGACCAGACCTGTGCAATTGGGGAGCCAGGGAGTGACACTCATGGAAAACCCTCCCTCCCCACCGCCCACCCTCCCCCCACCGTTTCCATTGGGCCTTTGCTAGACTCAGACAAAACAATGAAAAAGCCAGGGACGATATACCTAAACTAATTAAGGAAACACCCCAGCCTCATTTGCATTAAAGATGGAACGGACACACATCGGATTGGCACACAGAATGGAGAGCAGCTCTTCCAAAGCAGGAACCGCGCTGACCGATGGGATACCGAAAGCAGAGAAGCACGGCCTGATGGGAAATCTCTGCTCCAGAGGCTAATAAACCCAGGCCTGCTCACCCCCAAATGAGTCATGATCAGACCAATTCCAGTAATGGAGCCTATTGATATCCAAACTACTGACACTGCCTATTGCATCGTGAGCTGCTTCAAGGATCATCCTCCGTAGTCAGGGGTGATCAGCCTCTGTTGTGTCGCCTCAGTTTCCCTTTGACCTATTGTCTTATCCCTATAAAATCTCCTACCCTTGCCAAGAAAAACTGTTATAACATTTGTAATCAGGGCCGGCTCTAGCGACACACACGGACACTCAACTCCACTCCCAGAGCTCATCGGAAAGGACTGGAGAATCAGCACCCGCACGCCGACCCCTCCCATGTCCCTGGACTCAGGAGGCTGCTTTTACAGCAATGCCACACTGCACACTCATGTGCTTTTGGACTCAATGGTCTAGATTAAACAGCACTTTCAGCTGCCTTCCTCATACACCTCCGGGTTCAGCACCCCCTATCCCCGCTCACACCACAATCATTCGCTGGTAAACCACACGATGCGCAAACCCCGCAGGATTTGGGGCACTCCAGGGCTGTGTCTAGACTGGCATGTTTTTCCGCAAATGCTTTTAACGGAAAAGCTTTTTCCGTTAAACGCATTTGAGGAAAAGAGCATCTAGATTGGCACAGATGCTTTTCCACAAAAGCACTTTTTGTGGAAGAGCG